ATGCTTGCAGAAAAAATGGTAAAAAGTGATTCAATTAGTATCTTGCTGTTTTTGCAGATGGCTCTGGGAATTATTATCCGGAACTGCTCTGCTCTGCTGAGTGTGACCCTCCGCTTGCCAAGCACGAGTCAGGTAAGCCTGTTCACTCAGAGATAGTACCTGAAGAGGACCTGGACTTTCAGGCTACAACAACAGACTGGCCTGATGTTACTGTTGAGTCCAGCTCAGACTCCATGTCCCCAGATCCTGAACAAACATTTCTCAGAGAAGAAGAGGAAGGTGCTGAAGAGCAGACTCCACTGAAAGAAGAGGTGGAGATATCTCAGGAGGAGGAAACAGACAGTAACCATATCATCTTCCAAAGTGCTCCAGATACAATCGAGGACAAATGTGTAGAACAGCAGACTGAACTCTCTAAGCTGACAGAGGTCAAAACACTCCAACTTACTGCGATGCAGAACACTCCCTTCAAAGAAACACTTATCTCAGTGCAAACTGATCCAGAAAGTCCATCCAATCTGAAAGCTTCCGGGGAGATGGAAAACATGATTTCCGCTAGTGAAGAGGCAGGGCACAAAGACATCATTGAGACAGAAATGGAACCTGCCCTTTGCCCTCACACTGACTCTGATGTGGAGAGCAGGAACAATAATATCTTGCCTGAAATTGAAACTACAGTTGAACATACTGCTAGCACATCCCAAGACCAGAGTTCATCCCCACAGACTGACTGTAGCCTCTTCGTAGTTTTATCTAAAGAAGATGGCACATATAGAGCAAATCCAGTCATCATCTATGAAGAGACAGACGACAGTTCAACAGGTTCCACAAGAGCGCCAGAGACTTCTGAGAAACAGGAAAACATCACCACGGCTGAACCTCCCTCTGTACCTTTAAACAGCCAAAAGCAGGAGGGAGAGAGTTTAGATCCCCTTCCCAGACAGTCCAGTCCCACTCCTCAAGAGGACAGGCGAGCAAAGATAAGTGATCTCAAGAACTTTTGGGAAAAAGAAGTCACGAAGTCCAGGGAAATGGCTGTAATCGCCTCGAGCAGGTCATTTCGTAACAAAGTGGTGTCCCCTGAGTCAGATGTTAGAACAGTCTTATGTAGCAGGGAGAAGTTAGAGGGAGCGGGACAAACCAAGTCTAATACTCTCTTGAAATCATTTAACGTGACAGAAAAGGGTTTTGTTAGTCAGTGCATGGACAAGACACCGCTGAGGGATGCTGAGGATCTACCATCAGCAAGTCACCAAAGCAGAGTCCAGGCTGATCCAGAGGTTCAAACCAAGCCCCTCAGTCCAAGGAGATCGCTAAGTCCTAGAGCAAATGACCAAGATGAAGAAACCAGGAGAAGTCCATCCAAGACGTGCCACCCAAGGGTCCTGCCAAAAGAAACCTCTGGTCCAAAGAGTCCAAGACCGGAAGCCTCTTCCTTAAAAACCTTTCCAATAGACATAGAGCACCAAAGCAAGCATGTTGAAGAGCAAAGGAAGCCAACACCAGTGCCAAGAGAGAGGAAGAGTCCTTCCCATGAGGCAAGGCAGACAGAAACTAAATCTAGCTCAGACATCATGATTAGCGATGTAAATACTTCACAAAGTGCTTCAAACACCTCGTCTCCACAACACAAAAAGACCCCAGAAAAAAAGCTTGGGACCCTGACACGCCTTGCCAGATCCATCCTCCCCCAGGATTATCAGCATTACCTCGGGCCACAAGAGAAGGCCTATGTCCCCCCTTTTATCCAAGACAGTGATGCTTTACACAGTCCACAAAAAACCATCAGAAACTCTTTGGAGAACCTGAGGCACAGTCCCATAAAGGCTAGTCCTCTCAGAAAGAAAGATGGAGGCTCCAGCCAGGAAATAACAACCAGTGCTTGGTCTCTTTCCCGACCAAGTTCAGGCAGTGAGCTTTTCAATTCTCTCCATTTATATTTCTTTGAAATCATTTTTGAAACTACAAAGTGTGTATCACAAATGCATAATTCATGCACCTAACATTTCCTCTATTCAGTATGCACCTTAACATAATATAGGCTTCACCTATTCTACTTTTCTTATTATTACCTTCCCCTGCTCACTTCTCTCAAGAGATGATTTATAACCATTCTTTTTCCTAAGGATGATCTGGTACTCACACTAAGTTAAAGGCAGCTTCAGTGGTGGCTAGCACAAAAATATTTTAGGTGGGTTTGTGCCATTTCACTGATTTTCAGTAACTTTGAAATGCAATTAAAAGCAAGCCAAAGTTATCCAGTGGTCAGTGAAAAGTTATCATGTAAGGGATAATGTGAGCGGGTTGTAATCGGGAAATGGAACTACGACAGGGTGAGCAAGACCCCAACACAAAGAGGAGAAGTCTCACCCTCACTATACATTATCCCATTTATTACACGGCTACTTACTCAGGAAATCAATAATTCAAAACAGAATAGTGACCTAGAATTATTTTATTGATTTATATCTTAGCTTAGGAAAATGTTTGTTGGACTCTCCAGCGAGTTGAGCTGTGTCCTCAGCAACAGTTAACTTAACAAGCCTTCTTAAAATGAACAAAAGTAGCTGTTGTTTCTCACTTTTAATCACCATTTCCTGTGATGATGGTGAAATGAGACAAAGTGAACAGATCTGTATGAGTCGGCGCAGCACCTGATTTCATCTGTCTGGCTCGTAATGTCGGAGTCTGTTGAAATTTTGTCTTCAGTCTTTAAAAACACTGTCGTGTCCCATAGCATGTTCTATTATGTGTTTACTTCATTTGCCATCATCAGTTTTGTAGATTTCGCTGTTATAGCATACAGTTTTGGCGTCTTCCCTCCCCTTTCCCAAAGGAAACAAAGGACATCTTTACGCAGATTGATTACATTTAGTGCTCCACAGTCTATGAACCTTTCTTAGTACAATTTTGATCTTCTGAACAACACTGACTCATCCACAGATAGCAGAGTGTTGCTTTTTGTAATTGGCCAATAACAATCAAGTATTAACACAGTTGTGTAACAATTAATGCTCATTATAACAAAGTGAGCATTTTGACACCATATATTCAATTGAAATCAAAATCATTTTTAAAACCACTTTTGGTACAGGCCCAAGCTTTTCAGTTGCATTGGACTTGAAGCCTGTTTTTGCTGCTCTAACTCAACTCTGTTTATTTTTTTTCTACTTTTCATTACAGCAGTTAATTATATAGATTGAAACTCACATTAGTTCTTATCTTGCAGACACACTCCCGCCTCCTTTTAGGGACTTCCTCACTTACTCAAGAATCTTTTAAGCACTATTCAAGTCTTCTCGTCGCCATAATCATTGTGTCAGATGTATTCATCTGCTTTTATGATTTTAATGACAAATAGGAAATTAGTGGACCCAGGCTTTTTAATAATATTAATACTTTTAATTGTGATAGTTAATGTTGTGTTAAATATATTTTCTTTGTCACTCTTCTAATTTGATTTTTTATAGCAACAACAATTAAACATGCAATTTTTCATGTAAATCAAACAGCATAATTTCCATTAAAAGTGCAGTTAGTTGCTAGTTTTGTTGTTGTAATTTAACAGTAAGCTACAGTTTCAGCTTGTTTGACGACTCATTAAAGAAGTTGACTCTTATTACTTACATTAAAGTAAAATAAGAGTCAATAAGAGTCTTCCCCTCACTGTCCAGCATTGCTCAGGTCTGTGTGTGTACAAGCTCTTTAAACCAGAAATAAATGGCATAGCCTAGATAGACTTTGGTCATTCAGCTCATATTCCAGTATGCTAAGTTAAAAAAAAGTGTTAGCTTAAGTAGCACAGAGTTGATAGAATGGTTGTGTGGAGCGTTGGTAAGCCGTTAGTATAGAGAGACATTTGAGCATTTAGCTGTAACTTTTGCTGCTTTGCTAAAGTGCTCATGATGGATAGGCCGGATCTTTGTAATATAACAATGAGTAAGGTCTTTTACCTGCTTTTTGTAACATAACAATGGGTAAGGTCTTTTACCTGCTTTTTGTAACATAACAATGGGTAAGGTCTTTTACCTGCTTTCTGTAACATAACAATGAGTAAGGTCTTTTACCTGCTTTCTGTAACATAACAATGAGTAAGGTCTTTTACCTGCTTTCTGTAACATAACAATGAGTAAGGTCTTTTACCTGCTTTTTGTAACATAACAATGAGTAAGGTCTTTTACCTGCTTTTTGTAACATGACAATGAGTAAGGTCTTTTTACCTGCTCTTTTGTAATGTTAACAGACAAAGAGTAAGGTATTTTACCTGCTTTTTTAAAGTGTCTCGAGATAACACTTGCTATGAGTTGACGCTATACAAATAAAAATTGATTGATTGATTGATTGATTCAATTAATTGATATCAAAAGTCAGTTTTCTGCACTATTTTGCAATTGAGAGCCAATGCTACCTTTCTCATCAACTCCTCATTTGTGAAACTAGTGTTACACGGGACATTGAGCCTCACTAGTTAACAAGTAAGATTCATAAAGCGATTACAATAGTGGACATTTTTACTCTTACCACCTCTCTGGTAATCTAGTCAGGTCAAAATGACCCCAACTTATGTTTCTATATAGTTCGTAATTTGGCTCTACTAGTTAACAAGTAAACATTTTTTTAGGCTCACAAGTTAGCCAGTAGTGTCAAAATATATCTCACTTATTAACCAGTAGATATTTTGCATATTATTAGTTAACATGTTAGAGCTTTTGCTATCAACATGTTAAATAAGTCTTTCAGTGTTCAACTAGTAAACTAATGCTGTCAAGGACAGCACCAGGCAGGAATCTGACATTTGATATAGGGTATGTAATAAATGCTCAAAGGGCTTTCCATACATTTCATCTTCTTGCAGGTTAACAATACAAACCCATAGCCAAGCTGTTATTGTGTTCCCTGCGCTGTGATGCTTTAGCTCTAAAGTAATGTGTATTTATGATTTATGAATCATAAATTTTTAGAAAAATCACAGAGGTCTCCTTTAACATAGCATCTTTTCATTCTGCTAATATTAATCATTTCACTTTAAGACACTCCCTATTTGTCAGAAGTTTTAACAACAACAGAAGAAAAGTCTTTCCTAACAGCTCGACTTATTTTCTTTTTAGTGAAACAGAAGCATGATAGCTTGTTTAGTAATTCAGTAACCATCTAATAATCTGTGTTGAGTCTACTTTCCAGATCTGATGATGTTTCCTCTGTGGCAGGTTGTGATGAGACTCCTAGTACCATCATGACATCTCTTAAAGAACTATCTTCAAAGATCAAGTCCTCATCAAAAAGTCTGGAAAATCTCACCTCAAAAACAAGTAACTAACCTCTCTTTTGATATAGAAAGTGGTTATAATCCATCATTATATTGACATAATATAGGCTAGTTTTATTTTATATTACAGTGAAATGTTAATACAGTAATATAACATGATGACATTTCTCTGTAGAAAAAGCGAGGAATCATGATAACCCAAAAGAATCAACAAATCAAAGTGTGGATGATGGTAAACATATAATTTTTTGGCAGGACATACACAGGCTTGGATACATGCACTTAGTATTTTTTTTTACATTCAAGAAAACCCTTTTTATCCTCATTATAACTGATTAGTCACATTTTGTCCCCTAGTTTCTTCTCTCCCATCATCGTCTAACTCAAAGCAGTTGAAAAGCAGTGTGTCTGTGCCTGTTCTTCAGCAGGACGAGGTAAATCTTAGTAAATGACTTTCCACATCAATGAACTGTTCCATTTATCAGTAACTTCATGTATATCACAGAGAAAATATTTCTTTCAGACAGACAGTGACAGCACTTTTGAGACCAACTTGGGCTTGAGAAGAAACACGGGCAGCTCCACGTCTAACTTAAGTCTGTCCTCTGGATTGGCCTCCATGTCTTCTGTATGTTCACACTCAGCTCACTACAATAGATTTCACTTTAGATTTTCCTCACTGCAGTCACCAAATGCTTCTGACTGTATATATATATATATATATATATATATATATATATATATATATATATACACACACACACACACACACACACAAAACGCTGTACGTTCAGCTCCAAGCCCATTGGTTTCTAAATATTCAAACACAGCTAAATACTTTTTTTAAGGTCAAATTTTTTGTGTAAATTTAGTAGATTTGTTAACTTCACAAGACATAGAAAATTATCAGCCTGAATCTTAAATGTAAAAATGTAAAAATGTAGTCCTTCCAGTCACTTACTGAGTTACAAGATTATAACGGTAGATGTAGGTAGTAGTATGGTAACACATTGATATCGCATTTATTTTTGGTTGTCATAATTTTTAAAAAAATTTCTTGCAAGATTTCGTCACCATTGCCGCTGTATGAGAATAATAAGCTAACCCTAGAGAGGATGGGGTTCTCTCTTCTGTGCCATTATGTACTCGCAGGTCAGCGGCAGCATCGGCAGCATTTACCCTGCTGACCTTGGTGACATTGAAGTCCAGGGAAGCATTCAGCTTGCTGTGAACTACATCCAGAAGCTTGGGGAGTTTCACATCTTCGTGGTGCACTGCAGGGATCTGGCCGCGGCAGACACCAAGAAAAACCGCTCAGACCCGTAAATGCTTGTTCTATATTATAGGCTCCAAATGGTGAAGGGAATGTCACCTCATCCAGAGATATTTGACATAATTAAAGTTAGATAAAGGGAACTGGCAAATCAGAAAGAAAAGAGAAGAAGAACTATTTCACTTTATGCTCTAAAATAAGATGGTAACTCTTCTGTCTTTTTCAAGGTATGTCAAATGTTACCTCCTTCCTGACAAGACCAAACTGGGAAAGAGAAAATCTGCTGTAAAAAAAAGAACTCTGAACCCTGACTACAATGAAATCCTCAGGGTAACAATGCCATGCATATATTCTTTTACAGATCTTTCTTTACATGTAGACTTTTAGTTTATTTTTCAAAAATCATCTTAATGAACTCATTTTTCATAGTTTAAAATCCCAATGGAGGAGCTGAAGAGTCAGATTATAAACATCTCGGTGTGGCATAATGACAATTTTGGGCGCAACAGTTTCCTGGGTGACGTGGACCTGGATCTTTCAGAGTGGGACTTCAGCAACACACATATAAATGAATATGCATTAAAAGCTGGGGTAAGGGATGGTTTCTTAATTGTCTGTGTGTTAAGTAGAATAAGTCTTTTTAGACATTTACTAATCACAGTTTAATCAATCAGGTGTCATCACAAATTACAACACAGACTCCCTCACATCTGGCAGACGGCAGAGGACAGATGAGAGTGGCCCTGAGATTCCTGCCACTGACGTCCCAGAGTGAGCCGTTCAATCTAAAGTTTATTTCAATGCTTTTCTTTCAGGGAAGTCACAGTTTGTGTTTTGACTTCATCCACAGGTCAGAGCAGGATGGAAACTAGTGAGGTGCAGATTTGGGTGAAAGACTGCAAGAATCTCCCTCCAGTTAGAGGAGTTGTTATCGACCCGTTTGTGAAATGGTAGGATGTCCTGTCCCTGACTGAACTTCAGTTAATTAATCAACCATCACGAAAAAAAGGAATGAGGAAGTCGTACTGATGAAATATGTAATATGACCAAATAAATCAACAAAATAATTATCATAAAATATTGTTTTGGTCGTGCTATCTTCTGCACAGTGAGTGTGCCACATGTTTTCCTTTTGTTTTGCCCCAGTAGACTTTGAAGGAAGTTTAGAAAGCCTGAATAAAGTACATTTTGTTGGTTTGAGTCAAAGCCAAATGAAATAACTAGTGATGTATCGATCCAACTTTTCAAGTTCAAATACAAATCTGATACCCAGGCTTTGGTTATCTGCCTAACGGATCTGATCTGAGTATCAGTCTGTGTTCCTCACTGTGAGGATGAGACTGAATCATCCATGTTTATTTACAGTCTATGGTTGCTAGAATTGTCTCCCAAAAGGTCATGCACTTTAGTCAACTGGTCATTTCTTTGATGGCCGTTGTAATGGGGTCGCTGGTTTGTGAACTGTGGAAGTTTTAAATTGCAGCACTGTACTGCGCAGTGTGCATCTGTTGTCCAACCAGTCTACAGTTAAACTGGCAAATGTCATAAATCCAGGTATCTGTGGTGAAGCGTATAGCTATCACATCCATTAACCCTGCTGCAAGAGTCAGGCATTGGGTGTGAGAGGTGTAAAGTATATATAAACTGCTTTGCCTATGTTGTTAGCTCCTCCTATGCTATGTTGGCTCTGCCACACAGGCCTATCAGTGAACTGATGACAGCGTCATAGTACACGCTTGTGCTTGCCCTAAACACAGAATGGCATAGAAGTGAATTGTATAGATCAGCCCCTGGAATGTCCCGTTGTAACAATATCGATCTAGCTATTTATTTCTAGCTAAAAGTAACATTTCATAATAATGAAAAGAGTGGGTTTTTCAGAATTTCATGATGATATAGAGTATTTAGTTTAAGATCAGAACTAAGTCTTTGTTTAGTCAAAATATAATAATAATGACATTTTACCTCCCTCCTTTCCTTATGCTGCAGCACTGTGCTTCCTGACACGAGTCGAAAAAGCAGACAGAAGACGCGGGTTGTGAAGAGGACAGCAAACCCAATGTTTAACCACACCATGGTGTATGACGGCTTCCGCCCAGAGGACCTAAGAGAGGCCTGTGTGGAGATCACAGTGTGGGATCACGACCGACTCAACAACCATTACATCGGCGGAGTGAGGCTGGGGCTAGGGACAGGTCAGATTCCATTGTTCATCTTTTCAACATGGTCACAGCTGTAATCTTGACCCTCTGAATAGATTCATTCACTTTGTCCTGCTATCCACACCTGGTCTGAATTTGGGTAAACTCATATCATAGATTTTTGCAGATTTTTATAAAATAACATTAAAATTGTGAAACACAATGAAATACAATAAAAAATAAATAGAGATGAAGGTACCAGCCTCCATAACAAATGTGTGCTTAAATCAAATTATTCATGATTTATCACATAAGAGACTGTGATTAATCTCAATTAAAAAAAAAAAAAACACATACTGACTTCCTTCTCGTCCTGATTTATGAATTTGGGTTGGCACCTAAGGTGGTCAATCAGATTTTAAATGAGGTCCATGCCTTCCACACCAGCCATTGGATCCACCCCTGCCGCCCAGCCGGAATGACCTTAGCCTATCCAGCTAATTGTGCATGCCACTAAAAATACAGAGGGGTCTATAATACAACATTATCAATGCAAACACAGGATCATTCCAACTACCATGTTTGTACAATTTGAGCCTTGCAGATGTTGGCACACAAACTTTAGAACATAAGGGTATGTTTCATAGAATGGCTAACCGAGAGCATCAAGAGGAGTTTACTAGTTGATTACTATTGTCTCAAGTGATCCATTTAATGTCAGACATTATAATGTATAAGTCTTCACATGCCTTGAATGACTGGACCCAGAGATGTGGCCGGAGAGAATAATGCTGCGCGATGAGGAGACAGACCTTTCATATCTACGACCCTATGATGACTTGCTGGGTGGATGTCTGCTGCTCTACAGTATGAGTCCCTTACTCTGCTGAATCTGCATCACAGTTTATCTTCACTTAAGGTTTTCAAAGGATAATTAAAGTCAATGACACTTCATGTAAGTTTGCATATTAAGCATGAAAGTCAAATTAAAAAAATTATTTACAGGTGAATGTTTTGAGATTTATCACAGTGTTAATGTTGACAGCCCTTTTAAAAATGCAGAATATCTTAATGCTTAAGTGATAAAAGTATAAACAACCAAACCCATGCAGCACTTAACTTATTGAAGTCCCCTTTGTTTAGTGTTTTCACACCTGCACAAAACTCCTGAAACTTCCTCAAATTTGTGTCAAAGTGTTTTTTTCCCCCTTTTACATCACATCCTCCTGAGATCCCCCACCTGTCCTGTCCTACAGTAAACAGTCTTCTGGTGTCAGCAAGCAATTCATGAAACATTTCCGGGGCAGTCTGCCTGAATTTCTTTTATACATTTTCAGCAGTGCATAAAGGCTCTTTACTAACCAAAGTATGTTTGTGCCTCTCTGTGCAGGGAAGAGTTACGGGGTGGAAGTGGGCTGGATGGACTCAACGGCGGATGAAGCGACCTTATGGCAAAGGATGTTACAGGCTGACGGGGAGTGGGTGGAGGATGTTTTTCCTTTGAGAATGTTGGTGATGGCAAAAAGCATGTCGAAGTGATATTTTACAGAATGAGCTGGAAAATGTTTGAAAACTTTATGGAGGCACAGTGCATGTACATATGGACGCACTTAGAAATGTGTAATCAGCAGCTTTAATGAGACATGTGTGTATCTGTGTTCACATAGTGCCTACAGTAGGTGTAGTGTAATCACATGTTGAATGTGTTATGTCAAAAGTTACATATATTTGAAACATACAATTAAAATCTCAGCTGTAAATGAACAGTATTTTATGATCTGTAGATATGTTTGATCAGATAATAATAATGATATAATGTGATCACTGTATCAAATCTTCAATAAACAGGATATTAATTTGACTAATAACTTAACTTGGTGTGATTCTTTTATTACATTTAACGTGTTTCCCTTGTGTGATAGAACCATAGACTGTAATTATTAGAACTCAATACTTGAGTGCAACATATTTAGATTACAAAAAAGGATCCTTAAAATGAGAAAAAGCACTTTAGTAATGTCAATATTATTATCAATATTTAAAGATCATGGGAGGAACTTTTTAAGTTTGTGTTGAGTTTGGAGCCCCCTGTTAAAAAAATGGTATGTTTTTGCTAATCTTGTCCTGTAAATGTGCCTCTGTGTCTGATCTCACTCTGAAGCTGTTCACTTGGTGATGTTGCTCCCTCCTCTCTAAATTCTTGCTTGCATTGTACTTACTCTAAGATATATGTTGCTTTTGCTTAATGAATTGTAAATTTCCTGTCTGCAGGGCCAGTGTGACTATTCTCTAAAACCTTGTTATTGATGCTGTATTTTATAATAAAAAAAACACTGATCCCATCAGTAATTCTAAGCATTTAAAGCAACAATACAGAAATAATAAATGTTGCTGATGGTCTTTTATGCTTGTGTTGGTCTTAAAGGGACATCAGTATTCATTTCTGTCTGTTTTATAACTTGAATTATATAAAAACTCCTCACAAGGGCATTTAGTCACTGACAAATTATCTTCAGGGTTCTTGTTTCAAGAGGATAATGTCATTTTTGTAAGACTTTATTTATACCAGAACAAGAAACCGATATGTTTTAATAAGTACTATGGACATGGTGTGTTTTAAAGCCGACTTTGCCATCAGTGCATCAATATGTTTGTGAGAGGAGGAATGTGACATGAAGTTTTAGGAGTTACACTACAAAGGCCTGCTAAAAGTAAAGTCCTTTAAAAATTATTTCTAAACTGAAATTCTTATTGTGTGAAAAAACGCTAATTTAATTTTTATTGGTAGTCATAGCATAAATATGTTTTTTCTACTGATCAGTGCGAACTTGCATCTGGACAAACAGTAACTCAATACAATTTATGCAAAATCCAGGGCTTGTACAACTATAAAACTGTTTTTTAGTAATGATTTTAAAATACAACAATGATCATTTTCATTTATATATTTATTTGGTTCATTTAGGGACTATTATATTCTTTCTACACTAAAGGCCTCTCAGCAGCACTGATATAAGATATGATGTTTTCTGAACTGACCAGCAGAGTCTGCTGTTTGGCCACAAATGACAAAAAGTCTTTGGAGGACTATTCACAGACCATCATGCATCATCAAGTCAAGTAAAGACACTTAATTTTATTGATACAACCAAAGATACAAACAACAACAACAACAACAACAGATTGCTCAGGGTCTTTACATTCTTAAGCATCCATAAACCAAAAAAGTATTTTAGAGCAACCCAATGAAGAGCCACAGAGCAGGGGTTTCTTTATTCAGACAGAATTCATGCCATGGGAACATTTGAGAGACCAGCATAGTTTAAATACTGTAAACAATGTGCTGACAAAATAACACATGCACACAAAAACACACAAAAGTTGAAGAATCATGATGCCATTTCTTTTACAGTCACTTCTCAAAAACATAGACAATTATTATTATTTTTATTTATAGCCTAGCATATAGCATATATATTTTAATTATTGTATAACTATTTCGATAGAGATCATATTTCTGGAGTAGGCCTACATTGAATGTAGCGACATTTCACCTCTCACCTTCGCTCAGGTCTTGAGCTTTCTCATTGGTTCATCCGCCCAGATGCGACAAGAAATCCCACTTTTACATTGGTCTTTACGTCCTGTCAATCCAGACGGGAGCCAGCAACTAACGACCAGCCTCTGCGTTGCTAAGGTAAGTCAAACAGGTGCATCAAGCGTAACAGAATCTAACCAGAAGACCGACAAGTCCAACTTCAAAATAAAAGTACTGACTTTATAACTTCAATTATTTTAAGGCTCTTCTTGGTATTTAGATAATGGAATAGAATAGAATACAAATATTTAATATCAATTTAAGATTGATAATGACAAATAGATTTAAATAAAAGTTTATTCGTATGATGTTCTAAAAGCAGCATTGTTAATCTAGTGGCCTGTGGGGGGCCACTAGAAATTCATGTTGAATTGGCTAGAGACTTTATTAATTCAACTCCACTTAAAAAAAACGAAGACAATAATCACACAAATTAATTTACAGGCGACCTTTTTACTGGGGCTGTTTAAAAAAACAAAAACAAAACAAATGTATCGATATGAGGCTTTTATTTTAAAAGCTGTAACCGGAACATCATTTTCTCTCTGCGTCCAGCTTGTTCCATGGCAATAAAACTGTTGGTAATGCTGTCAATTCATATGGCTAATGCTACTGTACAGTAGCTGGCTAAATAATAAATTAATTATAAAGAGATGTGGCAGCTCGAGGACAGTGCTGTTTTTTTATCAGAGGAATTTTTCGGAGAATTCAGAGTCACCATTTGACGGAATATGAAAATACATGGAGTCATATAAGAGCCATGCGTATTCTCCCACATTTGGCAGGCAGGCATTTTCTTACAGCCAGGGTTCGCACCGGGAGAGCATCACTTCATCTGGCACCGCTGTTGGTTTGTGATATTTCATGAATGCTAGCTTACTTACGATCAACATGCATTTCTATATTTACCCGCTGTGTCAACGTTAACAGGCAGCGTAAAATGATTTTTTATTAATGTCTTGAATTGTTGTTACCCGCTTCTTGGGGAGTACACACACGTCCCCCCATAAGTCAGAACATCCAGAATGAAACTCCGAAGGGGCTGTTTCTTGTTTGCTGACAGGAGGAAACGCGTGGACAGCAGACATTCATTTTAAAACTTAGGCTAACATTAATGTGTGGTGCACCTTTACCCCGCGCGTTGACTTGAAGGCAGGTCAGAGAAGCTTCGTGAATGGACAAACAGGACTCATGATGTGGACCAGCTTTATGGGCAGAGGCTCGACCCTGCACTGTCACTTCAGACGGGATGTGTGTTACATTGGACTCAACAGAGAGTAATAACTACAGCCTGTCCTTTTACCTGACAGCTTCTCCTAACCACGGAATACTCAAAAACTTCTCTACAGTCTTCCTCAAACTGTGGTGTCCACCCATCTGTCTCACGACCAGTGGGCCTAGTGTGACCTGTCTTCCCGGTAGGGGCTGTTGGGACCATCATTGAGTCAGTCATGACCACAAACCACTGGGCTGCTGAAGGAGGTTTTTCAAAAGAGGATTTTAACACAAGCCCTGGAGCAGAATGTGTTAAAATCTGTTTTTCTCAAACGTTCTCTGTTTACGGGCCCATAACATACTCTACATATTGATAAAAGTTGATGTTGCACTGTTTTGGTGGGTGGCCCTTATCTGTAGTTATTGCAGATACATGTTGGTGCTGCACTTACCTGGCACAGAGACATCAGTGATCAACTTCCATTCATTTTGATGACTGTAGACCTCCTGGATGCACCCTCAGGTGCCCCCTGGTGGCCCTTGGACTCCACGTTGAAAGACTCTGGTTTAAGAACAGCTGAGTTTACCCAAACCAATTCCATTCTATCAAGAAAGAAGTTCATTGAAGATGCACTGGAGACTGAACTGGAAGGCTTAGCGAGGGTGAAGTTTACTAAAAGTCAACCATGGCTATCAGAAAAAAAGGTGAGTAAAAGTGCCAGAGATATCAAGTGTTTGTCAATGTGTTATAACAAATGTTAATTTTCTCTTCAGCAATCTGTCACTTCACCAACATCACATTTGGGAGCATGTGTGGTAATACTAGTGGCAGTAAGCAACATGAACAGTCATTCCAATGAAAACAGCTACGTGATAGCCAGAAGATGCTAACCCTGATGGGTTGTTTTTGTCAGACCTGATCCTTAAAAAAACAAACAAATAGAAAGCAGGACGCTCACTGACTGATCAGACATAACTTCAATGTAATATTGTAGGTGACATGCAATGATGAAACTCAGTCATATTAAACAAAATGTTAAAGACATAATAACACCTGCTGTAGATTTAAGCTTGGTGTCCAGCTGTGATTTCCATCAGAACTTACATAGACTCATTAAAGGTCAGCAAAGCTCTGAGAGTACTTTTAACTGTCAACAGGAGATTTTGTTTGTCTCTCCTGTTTTATGTAACACCACTTAACTTGGCCTGCACAGAGCCTTGACCTTGACTCCTTCTAACACCTTTATGATGAACATGATCACTGATTGAAAACTAGTCCTTATAACCCAACATGCTGTGTTGGACCAATCCAGGGCTCTAAAGACTTTGTGGAAGCAAACACATGTTTATTGTTCTTCCTGCTTCAGTCAGGAAGAAACGGGGATGCCGAGGCAGTTTTTGAAGCATTTTGAAATGACATGTTCAGCTATCCCATATGTTTGTAATGATGTGGTGTCCACATGTGTTTGGACATTTATTGTGTCCTGTAAACTGTCTGCAGAAGCTTTTGGCTTTGCAGCTTGGTATGTGTACAGCTGTGTATGAAGGTAAACCCACGTAAACCTCTCCAAACTCATCTCTATATTTACCAACTTATATTTATAGTTCCAGTGCTCATGTACTTTCTGCGGTCAAATATTACCAATGTATACAATTATCATACAAAATATTGTAAAACTGATTTATGACACATATTTATGGAAGGAGACAACAAACCAAGTAAAGACTAAAGGCTGTCTTATCTGCCCCCCTCCTCTACAGACACAACTCGAGCCCTCGGGCTTCTGGAGGAGTACTGTACTAAACTGAGGAAGCCGGAGGAGCAGCAGCTCAAAACTGCCATTCACAGAGTGATGGGGATTTTTAAAAGCAACCTGTTTAAAGCTCTTCTTGGTAAGTGTTTGGAGTGCATTCT